TATTAGTAATAGTAGTAATAGTAGTAATAGTAGTAATAGTAGTAATAGTAGTACTAGTAGTAGTACTAGTAGTAGTAGTAGTAGTAGTAGTAGTAGTAGTAGTAGCAGTAAGACTGAGGAGCAAAGGAACACTGCCAGGGAAGAGACAAGCAGCACTAGCGACTAGCAGCACGCAGCCATGGCAGCAGCAGGTGGCAGTGATGGCAGTGGCAACTGGGGACAGGGAAGTGACTCCTGGAACCGGGGAGGTTGGAATGATGATGACGATTCTTGGAGGGCACGGGATGACAACGCTTCTTGGAGGGCACAGGAAAACAAGCGGAAGAAGTCGACGCCGGCAAATGCAGCAAAAGAGGATAGGACACAGAAGCTCGTGGCCGAGATCAAGAAGGAAAAGGAAAAGGGCTTCCAGTTCGAGGCGGGGAGACAGAGACCGAGAGAGACAGTGAGAGGCACAGCTAGAATAGAGACGCCAGGGCGAAGCCAAGACGTTGCAAAGATCCTTGGATGAGTGCTCCGAGAGGCTTCAGGCGTCCGAGGCCAGGAGTAATTCACTACATGCGCAAGCCTACTACAGTCCCTGAATCCTGCCAGGGGTGGAGAGTCGCGAATTTGCTGGAATGCCAGCAGCTCTCCGGGCAACTAGAATCCCAGGGGATTCTGAACAGGAAGCACGCGGAAATGGAGGTGGCTTGCAAAGCCTCCGAACAGCGCACCGAGAACTTGGAGGCGGGAATCTGGAGGTGATTTTCGGGGCTTCCTGGATGTTCCGTCGGCTAAGGTGACCGAGGCAAGCCTGCAAAGAGATCTCCAGGACCAGGAGGCCGGCTGAAGCACCTTGCTTTGCTAATGCTTAAATTCTGATTGGCGCAGGCGCGCTTCAAGCAAGAGCTCCGTGACCAGGAGGCAACGGATTCTGACGCAGTGTTTAATTAATTGCACCTTCATATGTTCAGCAAGCCTTCCGGCGCAGGTGCGCATGAAGCAAGAGGTGGCAGACAAGGAGGCCATGGATTCTGACGCAGTTTCTGCACGTTAGTGAAGCCTTTCGGTGCAGGCAACCTCACGCGAGCTGAGGCAGGCGAGGATGGACTTAAGGGCCCTGCAGGCCCCATGGAGTCGTGACCATGGCAGGTAGGCCACTGTGATCAGAATCTGTCTGTAGGACAGCAGGCGACAGATGGATCGCACTAACGCGGTCCTGGAGTCGGAGAAGGAGCGGGGAGATTCCATGCGCTCGGCAGCTTAAACCCCAACCGACATATGATCATGCCAGGAGAGACTGGTGCGGGGAGGGAGGCGACTACGCCAAGAGCTGCAGGCAGCAGCAACCAGGCCCTGTTTGTACGTGCTCTGCCCGCCTCTGTCAGGCCAAGCACGAAGAGCTCTTCGAGCAGAGAGAGCAGACGAAGCTGGCGGAGGAGCAGCATTGATCACGGAATGAAGTTGACTACGTACTCCATGACAATTGCAGGAAGAAGCCGGCAAATTGAAGTCGTCGCAGGCAGGGCCCAAGCTACTCGGAACAGTTGTTTCTGGAATCCCATGCAGCACCGGACCGAGGACGAGCTCGAGGCTGCGGAGAACCTGCTCGCTGAGAAGGAGATGGAGAAGCAGGCAGAATCTAGACAATAAACTTGCAGAAACGCCCCCCGACAGTTTGCAGCCTCTCTCTCTCTCTCTCTCTCTCTCTCTCAGATGAGAATATTTGTTCTGCAAGCAGGAAAGCAGGTGGTGGGGGTTGGGGGCTTGGGCCAGGCGTCCATCCTTGCCGAGCACAAGCAGGAGCTGGAGGCGAGGCAGCCGAAGCATTACACGCAGCCAACACACACGCCAACGCACAGGATCTCCAGCTGTTTTGGGCCTTCAAGGTTCAGGCCAGCGCAGACCGTTTATGCATTCCGCAAAAGAACTTCGAACCCTGGAGGAGGAGACTCGTGGCCTCAAGCACGAGGCCAAGGAATTTGAGGAGGAGGCCTTGCTTGCTGAGGCCGAGCGGACACAGAGCACAGTGTCGTGGGAATCGGCTTGCCCCGTCATGCACAGGGCATAGCGCTACAGTCGCAGCTCCGGCAGAGACGGGCCTACGACGAGCTGAAGGCGAGTTCTCCTACTCTACTATCCATGCTCTTGCTTCCCTATTTGATTCATGCTGCCTGGCATCGCTGCAGGCCGCAGAAGCGCACTCGTCGTCCCCTCCAGCATCCGAACCGGGCCAGGCCCAAGAAAAGCAGCAAAAGAGAGAATTCTTCTTCAGAAGCCCCGAAATTCACCAACTTCGCCTGTTCTCAGGAGGCGACTTCTCCGGCTGGAGCTCCAAGTGACGAGGCCTGCCTGAGGAGTTCGAAAAAAAGCTGTGCATTGCATCTCCTCGCAAGGAAAGTACCGTCCCTACGGAGCGTGCGTCGTGCCTGACTCAGCTTCTATCGCATGGGAGCCTACAATCGAATGCGACCCCTAGTGTGTGAGCATTCCTACAGGACCTCGCCTTCTCGGCCCGACACTGCTTCGCCTGCCTGAACCTGAAGATGACTTCTTCGAGTGTAGAACAATTATCAATCATTTTGAGCTTGCAGCAGTTTCCCAAGCTACAAAGTCCGAGGCAAAATGAGGCTTATTGGAAAGTGATTCTGGCCGGGCGAACGGCTGTCATCGATGCCAGACGCTTGGCCTCGGAAACTTCGTGACTGCTCAACTGACGACCCAGAACACCCATTGAGCAGCAATCGTCCATCCAAGGCTACAATATAGAGTTGCATACAGACCGGGCGTGGCCTCTCGGCAGCAGAAACCAACTACTCCACTCACGTATTCTTATCAGCAGCACGTTGTACCAGTTCCAATCCGAGGCCACAGCTCTCTGACTCGGTCTGCCTGTGCAAGGAAAAGAATGCACGGCATGCATCATGTTGGTCTTGCTGCGCACAGGTTTGCAACCCCACTGAAGTCCCAAGTCCGATCCTGCGACAGGTGCAGTTGCAACTCACGTGGGGAGGCCCGGGCCCCGGTCTGCCATGACCCCGGACTTGACACAGCGATTGGCTTGCGGAGTCACTTGAGTCGGTGCAATGTGGAAGAGATCCAAAACTGTGCTAAGATCTGTCCTTCGAGGTCTTGGACAGTTGCACAGCTCATTTCTTCCTGCCTGGTGCCCGGTCAGCTCAATCGGAGTCAGCGCTCGAACCATGACAGGCGAGCAGCCGTCCTAAACTTTACTGCTACACGTAGTTGCCGTCGTGGAGGTTGCTGCACGGTCAAGCAGGGAATCCCAACTCCGTTTCATCCGTCAGATTTTGGTTCGTGCTCTTTGCGCTGCCTCTGACGGCCTATAGGGACTCTGGCAATCCAGCGTCCATGGCCCCTACTCAGCCCACGACTCCTGGGAAGACGAAGGACCAGACTCCGAGGAAGTCCGGTCAGCCCGTGGGCAAGAAGAAGGTGAGATCAGATCAGGCAAGGACACGGCGATCAATGAAGGAGCGGCTGCGTCGTCTGACAGGTCAGAAGCTGAGGACGGACCAGGAATGGATGCTGGAGGCAACCGATGACCTGCGTCAGCTGTCAGCATGGATGGCGAGGCAGGAGGTCCAGCAGGGCAGTGGTCTTCTTCCTCTCCGTGTGGGGGTTCTTGGAGATGGACGAACCCCTGACGACTGCAGGGTCTTGGGGCTTCCGCCGGTACCGGAGGATGCTTCCTGCGAGTGCTTGTACATGCGACTGTGCGAGTTGGAGTGCCTTCGCAGCCACACCACTGACGTCATGGCCTCCCTTGCCGAGAGACTGATAGCTCGTGGGTTTTTGGTACCATGTGCTCCAGCCACAGGTAGCAGCCATGTAGGCAGTGTACAATGCGGATGTGGTTCCAGCGACTGCGAGTGCTGAGCACTTGGCGTACCGGCTGACTTGCGCCTACTGACTACAAAAAATTGCAGCACAGGCCCTGTTCCGCGGAACCTTGCATGACTCTCGGGTTTTCACTTTCCGCTTGCATGCGTTGCGATCAGCCTGTGACATGCCCGACCGCAAGAGAGTAGCGTCCAAGAGGATGGATGTCGGCTGTCAGCAAAGAGTTGATGCTGCTCGCGCTCGCGTTCGGTCGCGAGGTCGCATCTGCCACCTGCCACGACCAACAAGAAGCCTGCGGCCAAGAAGGATGGGCAAGTCTTCCCGTTGCTTTGTGAAGAAGGCAGCTAAGACGGGAGCGTAGCATCTGTTCTTCAGCTGTTTTTTGAGCTGACAGCGCCCGAGCGTTGCTTTGAGTCAAGTCTGTGACAGCTCCGGTCGCTTGTGCTGCCGCCACAATGGATGCGGAGTGAGGTCTGAGTTTGAGTTCTGCTGAGGTAGCTGCTGTTCTCCTGTCGCAGACAGCCTCACTGCGTGCGGAGCCCTCGGAGTCAGGAGTGAGTTTGCACCAGATACGGCCACATTCTGCTCAGATTCCTGTATCTTTCGTTTTTCGCAGCCAGCCTCACTGCGTGCAGAGCCCTCGGATTATGACGGCGAGGCCGCCTCCTCCGAATCTACAGAAGTGGCAGATCCCCAGGCTAGGTGGGCGCCTGCAACACCGGGCTGTTGCATGCATCTATGCCACTGACTACAAACGGGTGGCACGGGTTCATGGGTTTAGTCTCAGACGCTGTGGATTGAGTTGCCTCGACAGCTCCTGCTCAAGGGGATCGAGCGGGAGAAACGGATCTTTGTGTGTTTGTCAGCTGCCGAGACCTGAGGCTGTAGGCTTGATTCTCCAAGTTCAGCTCGAGGGCTCCAATTTGTTGTAAAATACGGATAGTTGAGGGCTCAGTGTCTGCAAGCAGCTGTACGCACTCAGAGGTTCTGCCATGCTGAAACTGGCACAGATCTGGAAGAAACATGGCGCAAGCTGGCAGTCCCGGTTTCCCTGGCTGTGCGCAGAGGAGGGCGAAGACGGCAACATATCTGGCCTCGGCTGTGCAATCTGCCGAGAGCAACCGCAGCAGAATGCCTTTGCATCTTGCGCTGTCGGTGCATCATCAGCTCAGACATCCGTGTTTCAAAAACACGAGAAGTCATCTGCACATCAGATGCGCGCCGAGAGTATGGCTGGTGAGCTAGGGGTTCCGATCGCAGCACCGTCCGAACGCCAATTCGCAGACGTGCTGGATTCCGTCTTCAAGGGCGATCCGGAAATCAAAGAGATCGGGCCTTCCAAGTTCAGAGCCATGGTGTGGAGCCTTGCGGAGGTCTGGGGGATGGGGGGGATTTTCTGCAAATGGACGGGCTGAAACAAGATAGTGCTAGGACTTAGCTTAGCATTACGATTTACGTCTTTCCCACGACAGGCTCACCGGCGGGAACTTCGCTCACGCCTGCGCACTTCAATCTGCATGTCTTTGCAGCAGGACGTTCGAGCGGGCCAGCTCCTTGTCACCTTTGCGTCGGCGAATGAGCAGCTCGAGCTTACAACAGGTGTCCTAGGGCAAGTCAGCTTGCCCGAGCGCTTCGGGGGGAATTCGAAGGACATTTTTCAAGCAAGCGCATACGTGCTGAACAAGTTCACCACCAAGAACCTTGGGAAACCGGGCCGGGACGGGCATTCCAGTGGGGCGGAGCTAGATGAACAATTGACTGCCCACATCCGAGATGTCGTCGAGCTGTATGCAGCTGACGGCGCTTCTGATGAGCAGCGTGCCATCAAGCTTCTGCCGGCGTACTTCGGTGGGCTCAAGGTCATGCACTTTGATAAGGCACATGCCTGCCAGCGGATACTGTCGCGCACCTGGCCGTGTGATCCGTACATCAACGAGTTGATCGAGAGACTTGTCACAGGGCCGGATGCCTTGACAATGAAGATCAGGCACAGCTTGGTCTTCAGGAAACGCTTCCAGACGGCTATCAGTGACCTGTCGCCAGGGCAAGCTCGGAAAATCAAGAACTTGGCTTGCGCTAAGCATCGCTACCTGAGCAAGTCTTTGCCGTTCAGGCGTTGTGTTCTCTTCTTCAAGCCGCTTCTGCGGGTGGCGCAAGCTATCTTGCAGGAGCGAGGCCGCGCGTCGGAAGAGGGCCAGATTGCACGACGCTGGCTGGAGCGTGTGACGCCCGAGAGTGTGCTTCAAATTGCGCTGGTTGCAGATGCGAGCGACGAAGCCAGGAGTGTCAGTCAGTTCTTTGATGCAGATAATTACTCGAAAGCTGAGATGACTGCGCATGTCAGCAAGTTCTTGTGCAAGGTGACCTGGCTCTTTGAAGATTCCCAAGGAGCAAAGCAGACCGGCTTCACTCGCTTCATGCTTGACCAGCTGCGTACTCCCGTCAACATCAGTGTCGACGGACACATCCGGAGCGTGGGGGTGCCTTCAGATCAGGAGATGACACGGTGCTTCCAACGCATGGTCAGCTGGTTGCAGCTGGTGCGCCTCACGGTGAAAGCCGAATTGCCAAGCTTCGAATCTCTACAAGCCTTCCGGATATTTGATCTAGACGTCAATCCTTCGGCCAATGATCTCAGACGCTTTGCCAACATGCTGGACTTGGATGCAGAGGCTTTCAGAGCCGAGTTTCACGATCTGCGCCCCTCTGCGGACTGGCATTACCGCAACGGCTGCTCTTCTTCTCAGGCCGCGTGGCTGGCGGCTGTACAGAAGACGAAAGGAACCAGCAAACTGATGGTGACCGCCTTGGCTAGAGACTTGGCCTGGCAGGCCAATACTTGCGGAATCGAGCGGAACTTTTCGAAGGCTCTTGTGTCTACCTCCCGCTGCCGTGCTGATGTATCAGAGCCCAGGCTTGATGACGAGGTGCAGCTCATCAGCCTCTGCCAGCAATCACGTGGAAAGGCGAGGGCGTTGCCAAAGCATGCGAAGCTCATCGAGTCCGCCAGGCTCCTGTGGAGCCAGGAGTTTGGTGCTCCGCGAGAGCGTCGCCCCTTGGCGCCTCATGAAAAAGGCCTTCGAAAACGCCTCACGGACGGCAACTCGGAGGCGGCTTTTCTCAAGAAGCGTCCGGGCCAGATTTCTTCAAGCGATCCGCGAGGGAGCCGTGCCCTGGGCAGATCTCAGTGCTCCTTTGAGAGAGCTTTACTTGCGGTTCGAGGAGCATGACCAGAAGCTTTCAGCGGATGCTATGAAGCGGGAAAGCTTTAAGTTCAAGCGACCCAACTTTCCGGATTTGTCTGGAGGAACAGTGTGGTGGACGGAAGAAGTTCAGGAAAGCGCCGGGGAAGTCTTCCTGAGGCAGGTGGCCGGAAAGCTTGGTTTGCGTGTTGTTGAAAACCGACGCGATGCCACAGCTCATGTTTGGCGGCAGCTCACTGAGCCGGGCAGCCCCCATGACATGTGGGCAGTTGCATTACACGGCAAGTTCGTGATGGATCTGCGATGTTTCAGGTCACAGGGCAAAGCTGGAGGCTTCCTAGTTTATAAGGCTGCCATTGGGGTCCAACGTACTGTCTTTATCAGCCCGCGCTTTGCCCGCGACCACGCGCACATCGCGCGAGATATCTTGTCTTTTTGCAAGCCCTTCTACAGGGGACTCTCCAAGTGGAAAAGCTTGAATGATGCAGAGGCTTTCCGTCCCACTGCGCAGCAGGCTATCACCGCTAAGAAACCCACCACGGTGTTAGCCTTCGGCACCGATGAGGACGAGCCAGATTGGGGACATCTGAAATTGTTCCTGAAGTCAGGCGACCTCACTAAAATCATGTCCTGGGATGCAAAACGCTCCTCACTGGGCCTCGACAAGTAAAGGTCACCGAGCCTTGGATGGAATTCGAGAAGATTGGGACTCTCAGTTCCGACGCAGACGCCCAACAGCATGACTTTTCTTCAGGGCGTCGCTAATTGGGAAACCTAATTGCACAGTCGCCGACAAGTCAGAAGCGGAAGGTTTCTAAGGAACATGTTTTGGAAGCATGCAACAAGCTCCATTGCTTCGACTTAGCCGGGCGAGAATCTCTGGGACGAAACCGAAAGGGGAAAGCATGAGTGAAAAGAAGGCGTTTGCATTCAATTGTCAGTGCTGGGTTACACTGCTCAGATGTGGGGCAACTGAAGCCTCAACCCCAACCCCCCAAAGCCTGTAACCCTAGATTCCAACCCCAAAGCCTTCCAACCCTGAACCCCAAACCTCAACAGCCTCCATCCCCTAAAACCCCAGACCCTGCAACCTGAGCCCCCCAAGCCCTAAACCCTAAACCCTATACCCTATACCCTAAACCCTAAACTCTCAACCCTCAACCCTCAACCCTAAACCCCAAACCCTAAACACGCTGTGTCAAAAGTCATCTTGCAGGAAGGAACCTAAACCCTAAACCCCAAACCCTAAACACGCTGTGTCAAAAGTCATCTTTCAAAAGTCATCTTGCAGGGGTGAACCTAAACCCTGAACTCCAAACCCTAAACCCCCAAACCTAAACCCTAAACCCTAAACCCTAAACCCTAAACCCCAAACCCCGAACCCCAAACCCTACACCCCAAACCCTACACCCCAAACCCTATAAACACCAAACCCCAAACCCCAAACCCTACACCCTCAACTCAAAACCCCAAACCCCAAACCCCAAACCCCAAACCCTACACCCTCAACCCCAAACCCTATAAAACCTATAAACCCTATAAACCCTATAAACCCCAAACCCTATAAACCCCAAACCCCAAACCCTATGGATCCTTTAAACGCCCCCACCGGGCGGGATCCGGGATCCCGCCCTCTCTTGTGCGCTAGGCAACCGGCGGTCCAGGCCCGGGGCCAAGCCATGGGTTAATCGGAGGTTGGGCTTTAATAGGGGGTGTGATAGGGGGTCTAATAGGGGGTTTAAGGGGGGGTTTAATAAGGGGTTTAAGGGGGGTTTAATAGGGGGTTTAATAGGGGGGGTTAAGGGGTTTAATAGGGGGTTTAAGGTGGTTACATAGGGGGTTTAAGGGGGTTTAATAGGGGGTTTAAGGGGGTTTAATGGGGGGTTTAAGGGGTTTAATGGGGGGTTTAAGGTGTTCAATGGGCTTGAGGGGTTCAAGGGGTTCAAGGGGGTTCAAGGGGGTTTAAGGGGGTTTAAGGGGTTTGGGTTTAGGGTTGGAGGCGAACTAATTTTGGGCATCTAGGGCTTCTGGAAAGCTTCTACAAGGTATATAGACCTTCTATAAGGCTCCTATAAGGGGTTTAGGGGTTTAGGGGCCCGGAGGGTTGGGAGGAAGCCAAAATTGAGGGATTGATAAGCCCGAGACGGGTATCGACGGCCGGTGCTTGTCTCAGCTGCCCTTACGGGTAAGGAGGGCTGAGAGGTAGGGTCCCCGACCCATTGGTTGGAAGGCTGAGAGACTGGCCCTCCCTCTCAGCCTTCCCCCAGGTATCCCGCACCCCTGGCTCTCAGCCTTCCTTACCCGGACAGGCTGCTGAGAAAACGTCCTCGGCGAGGACATCTTCTCAGCTTCATGGATCTGCAGGCGGATTTATTTTCAGCTTGCTGGATTTTTTTTTTGCTTTGTGTATTGCTGAGACAAGACCGATTCACTCTGCGATTGCATGCTTCCGCTCCTGTACTTGCTAAGCGAAACATTGCTGTGACTTCACGCTCAGCTTCGGCCCAATTGCTTTTCCAAGCACTACTGGCACTTTTCGCACTCCGTGCTTCCTGGACTCATGCCGCCTGCTCCGATTTGTGCTCCGGCAGCTGCAGTGCCCACCTTGCCAGCGGTGGCTACGGCAAATGCCCAGCACATGCAGTTCATCGAAGAGGCCCTGGAGGCCATCCGCAAGCACCCGCTCATGGCGGGCGTCGAGACAGCTGCTCCCCTGGACATGGCTCACGGTGGCCGCGAGCCGCTGACAAACAACAAGGTCAAAGCAGCTCTGGCAGCGAAGAAAATCCCCACCGGGGCTGGGAATTTCTTTTGGCTTGACCTCAGCATCGACCCAGTGTTTGCCCACGCGCCTGTGAAGTCGAAGCGCTGTCGCGAGATTGCGGACAAGCACTTCTCGGAGCCCTGCCACCTCATCTCCAATATCACGGTCGCGGTGCCGAGCTGCTGGCAGCAGAAGCCCGCTCTGGGTACCCAGAAGCTTCGCCGGATCAGCCCAGTCGAACCGCTCCACACCTTGATCATGGCAATTCATCGTGATGTCGAACAGGAAAATGCAGCTGCCATCTCGCAATGGAGAGAAATATTGCTGACGACCATGTTTACCTTGGCCCCGGCAGAGAACGACACAAGCGTGCATCAGTTGCACACTCAACTCCGCGAGAAACCAGGCGTGGAACACGAGCTGGTCCGGCACTCCGCTCTCAGCCGCATCCTAGACGTTGTGCATTTTCACCAGCGGTACCACAAAGACTTAAAGCCGCCCAAAGGCAAGAAAGTCAGCCTGGCGAAGCTGCTCAGCGAGGAGTACAACAAAGGCGTCAAGCTCAACGCCATGTCCGAGCCAGTCAGCGAGCTGTTCGTGGAGAGGGCGATCTCGATCGACAATCGACTCCTGCAGAAAAGCAGCTACATCCTCGCCATCCTCATGGACCTCGACGACTCGTTCGGCGTGAACGGCCCCATTGATTCCGTGCATAAGATATACCTCCTGCTTTCCAAGGCCGGTGCCTCCGGGACCAACTCCCTGAAGAAGATGGAGTGGTTCGTGGGATACGTCTCAGATTTGTTCAAGTTCGGCGGTGTCACTCTGGACGAATGCAGCAAGGGCAAGCTCGTGGACCAGAACAGCGCCAAGAGCCTGGGTGATGTGATCTTGGCGAAGCCGGACATCCTGGCAGAGCTGCTGCGGTGGGCCCAGGACAACGGCGTGCGCCTAGCTGTGCTGGAGAAGATCAAGGAGATTACCCAGTCCATCGAGACGTTCCGCGAGGCTGTCGGCCGGCGCTGGGATACGAAGACGAAGCCGCCTGCAGCCCCGTGGCGAGCCGGCTTCGGGGCGGCAGGCGACCAGCTGCTTAATTTGATCGAGGATATGGTGTACTTCAAAACCTACGACCACGCCATTCTCGCGTGGGCGCTCTCCCGGAAGCCCCTGGCCGAGCTGCTGGAGACCCCTGCGCTACAGGACGTCCTCGCCGAGATCAAAGAGGCCGCTGAGGAGGAGAACAAGGAGGCAGGTGTTGAGGGCGGAAGGACCCAGGAACCTGACTCCCAGGCCATGGTTGTCGACCCGGAGGACGAAGTATCGGCTGATCGGGTGCATGGTCTGGGAGCTGATGCAGGCCTTCAGGCCATCGTGTCGAACTTGAAGGATTCCGGCGAGGCGCAGGATGTGGAGGACCTCCAGAAATTGGAAAGGTTCATGTCCCAGGCTCAGGGAGTTGTGAACACATACTGCTCCTTCGCCCTGGAGACTGAGACGGATGCGGACTTGGTCAAGCATTTGAAGGAGAGTGCAGCTGGATCCCACGAGCCCAAGGTGTCCGAGAACGCCCATGTCTTGTGCTATTACAGCGCGCAAGACTGCGGCGAGGCAACGAGTCAGCCCCACCTCAGGACACCGGCCCTCCGGAACCGAGGCGATCACCTTCAGCGCTTCATTCATGTGTGCATGCAGCGCCGCGGGTTGGTTCACGAACTCCCCGAGCAGGACGTTTTCGCTCTCAACGATTCCGGTCGAGAAGGAAACAAAGGCTTGATGCTGGGAAAATTCACTGCGATCGGCGAGGCCGAGGTCGACCCGAGTACCGGGAAACCCAAGAAAGCGCCGCAACTGAGAAAGAGTGTGCGGTGTGTCACGGCGATAATCAGCGAGAACTCGCTGGCGAAGAGAGTGGAGAAGGTCAGAGGCTACAGCAGTGTGAATCAGATTCAGAGAGTTTACTTGGTGTCGGGCAAGGCCTTGCAATTGACTCGGCACGATCGCTTGCACACGGCGAATGCATCGAATCGCGGCAACATGATCGGACCGTTTGTCGCGGAAGATTGGGAGGGGAGCGACGTCTGGAAGGTGCTCGTGAAGACGAAACTCACCTTGCTTGGCAACTCAGGTGCCCGGATATTCGTCGGAGGCACAGCAGACAAGAAGGAACAATGAGTCCGAGGAAGACGAGGCCATTGCCACCGGGAATGTCAAGAACAAGACGAGAGAGAAGCATGATCTTGAGCCGGTGCTTTTTCACTCGGCTCCCATAGCTATGATGGAGGAGATCCTGCACTCCTACTCCTACGATATCTCTGCTGTGATTAGCAACGCCGGGGACGGCAAGCTCTGCGAGCTGTGTTTGGAGCGGAAGATCCCCTTCTGGGGCCTGGCATGGACGCAGGAACACATTCAAGCCCTGGAAGCACGCCTGACGAAAAGAGTCTTCGACAAAATGGCGGACAGCAAGTCAAAGCTGTACAAGCCAGCTTTGCGGACCATCTTGGACCGGAACAGTGAGGAGCAGGAGGAGCCGGAGCCGATCAAGAAGCGCAAACGTGCGGCGAAGGGGAAGGCGCAGGCCAAGAAGAAGGAGGGCGAGGGCGCCGGTGACGGGGAGAAGGATGGCGAGAAAGACCCGGACCCGGAGCCGGTTGACAAGAAGCCGAGAGGTGGCAAGAACAAGGATGACAAAGGTGGCAAGAACAAGGATGACAAAGGTGGCAAGAACAAGGATGACAAGGCGACAGGGTCGAAGGACCCGATCCTGGACGAGATCCTTCGCATTGCCAGTGGTGCAGGGGGCGAGGAGGGCGGAAACTGAGCCTGTTTCCACCATCAGGGCCGTACAGAATGTCAGTAGGTAGCGTCATCACTCCTGCTTTCTCCGGAGCTGTGAGATTGGAAGTCTTCATGTCCTTGCCGAGCCTGACACTGGCTGGGCTGCCGGTGTGTTTTGCGAGGACATGTCTCAGCGCATATCGTGTTTCGAAAGTAGATATGCATAGAAATGACATCTAATAAGGCCCAAGCCGGGTGAACGACGCGCAGACACGCCCTGACAATCTTTTTCAATCAGAACCCGCTTGGTCCTCCGACGGCCAGGCCCATGGGATGCCAGTGACAAAAACTTGGGGGTTCGATGACACTCTGCGTGCTGTCAGCCAACGCATTCCCTCGTGCTTTGTGCATGGAAACTGTTCCTGAGAAGCGTGTCCTGGTCGGCAGGCCAGCCAGACGGAATCCGACGCGAGACACTCAGCATTCAATGAGCCCAGTCAAACAGGATGCATATTCGGACATCGTGTGGACTCCGCAGCTTGCAGACTCACGTGGAAGCATGAGTGGTAGCTGCTCATAGAGTGACTCTTTAAAGGAAGGAACCCTTTACTGTTATAGGATCGTCGGTTTGCAGATGGCGACAAAGCGCTCCCGATTGCTGAACAGCAAGCGCGCAGTCGTCGCAGCATCGGACTGCACTGGGACTCGCCCTGGAGTCCCTAGGCCTTCCGTACGAGGAGGCCTGGGCTAGCGAAGCAGATCCGGCAACGCGGCGCGTGCTAGCAGCCAGCTTCTCTCCTAGAAAGCTTTATTCTGACATCCGCGATTGGGATGGGGAGAATAGTGGTGCAGGAGATATAGACTTTTTCTGCGCAGGCAGTCCATGCCAGAGTTTTTCGCGGGCAGGTCGAAGGCAAGGCCTAGATTGCGAGAATGGAAAGACGTTGCTGCATGTGCTGAAGCGAATTTACAAGGTCAGGCCAAGAACATTTCTTCTGGAGAATGTAGATGAAATGCTGAAACACGAAGCCACGATAGACCTGATCTTAAACTTCCTCCAAGGCATCAAGGACTGACCCATTTCTTTGTTCTTGCTCCGGGGCTAGGTTAGTTGAGGATGCGGGGTTTAGGCTTTAGCAAGACTTCCCCACTGCAGGACCCGATGACTGGACGCAGGTATTATCCGCATGTGCATTTTGCCATCCTGAACTCCCTGCAGCACGGCGTGCCCCAAAATCGCAGACGTTTATACATATGTGCAGTACATGACCCAGTGCATGATTTCCTTTGGCCAGATCCCACAACACCTGTGAGTCTCGAGTCCTGCCTGGATCCGAGGGATGCGTTGGCCCGGCCAGAGTATCCTAGCAACAGAACAGAGCTTCAAAATCTTCTGACGTGCATGCGAGCTCTCCAAGCTCAAGGCATCAATCTGAGCTGCAGTGCCATTGCCGACATTGGGAGATCCTCCGGGTGGGGTCCGGCCATCACTCATGGACACTGCCCGTGCCTGATCCAGAGCCGCTGCAAGAGTGGCGGGTACTGGTGCTTCAGCAGACAGCGACGATTGAGACTCGACGAGTACCTGCGGCTGCAAGGAATTCCTCTGGGCCGCTTGAGAATCCCGGGCGATGTATCGGAGTGTCAAGTGCGTGGGATGATAGGAAACAGTTTCACTGTGCCTGATAGCCAGCATTGCAGATCGCTTGCTATTCAGTGCAGGCATCACGTGCAAGCCCATCCGTTTCCAACAGGGGTCGGGCACTGCAGGGATGGTGCGATAGTTAATTCTGGCCGAGAACATGTGGAATTGCAGCAAAAGCGGTGGGCAACCCGATTCGCCAGGTCGAACAACCCTATAGGGCTCCAGACTACTATAGTTAGTGTTTTTTGTTAAGGGATCTTTTCCGTCCGCATGAGTCTTCGAGCATCTGTAATATAGGGGTTTACGGTTCAGGGCCTTGACAAACCGAATACCCTCGCGAACCGGAAATCGTTCAGAGACCGCGACCTGCTTCACCCCCTGGCTCCCGTCACCGCCACCATCATGAAGACGACTTGACCTTCACTATGAAGAGCACCACGTGCAACGATCTGCACAAACCAAACGGGGTTTAGGGTCTGGGGAAACGGTCTGCTACGGTTTAGTATTCAGGGCTCAGAGGTTTTTAGCGTTTGGGGTTTAGTGGCTAGGCTTCAGGGTTGGGTTTTGGGGTTATATTGGCTTCGGTTTCAGGGTTAGGGGTTGATTGTTTAGAGCTTAATGTGGGCTTGTTGCTTCCAAGCACTGTGTAGCAGCCTCACGTCGTGACGACAGCTTGCGACTTTGATGTCTGAAGGTTTCCCCGTCAAACTCAGCACCAGAGGACTTCTAAGCTATAGCCTTAAGTTGGACAGGGATTCAACTTTATGGCTACCCGCCATCGCTCCCTCGCAAGAGGCCCGGAACCGCCCCCCCCCCCTGAGATGTAACC